TTATTTGTACTATAACCGAAATAAAATATTTATTTTTTAAAGAAATGTATTGTTATTGTATAATTATTTTGTATTTTAGCCGACTTCGTGATAAATCTCCGACTGCTTTTTTGTATTATATGTTACGAGATGTCTTCACCAATAATTGTATCCAGATTTAATTATTATTTTTCTTATTAAATAGACCATACTCCAGGGGTTATGTAATAACAGCGTCGTTTTAAGATGGGTTCCGGTTCACGAAGATATTGTAGGTAATGAACTTGCCGACAAGCTTGCACGGGAGGGCCCAAAGACACAATTTGGACCCGAGCCATTTTGTGGAATCTCAAAAAGACTAGTCCGATTGACCCTTGAAACTGTTTATACAATAAACCACTTAAGATCTGGTTTGACATACCAGGCTTAAAACATTCTAAAACCTTAATCCTGGCTTGTGATCGTACATCCGCTTCAGAAGACCCAGGATTAAGTAAAAAAATGGTTGTCTGTAAAGTCGGTTTACGGACGATAGTTTAACACGACAACGTCATAACAAAACATTGATGAAATATTTGCATACTTATTCATAAAGCGCCCTCCACATTCGCGCCGTGAACACCCGTGAAAGGCGTGAACCGCGAATGTGGATGGCTTTCGCGCCCGTTCACGGGCTTCGCGCCTTTTCACGCCATGTTCCCCGTTCAGTGTCGGTATTTTGTGTCCGCGTCAAAGGGTTTACGACGCGTGAACCAGAGTTTCCACTTACAATTTTGGTTTGTCCCTATTTTTTTTAGGATTTATCCCTAAAATTCCCTAAACGATCTTAAAAATTCCTATTTTTAAGGAGCATATTTTTATTCGAGAAATTATACAATAATTTATTATTTTGAATATTTATTAATAAATCAACAAAAGATCAATCACCAAAAACCAGATCAGACAGAAGATTTAGAAGCTGAATCATTACTTTTGTAATATTTTGCTGCACTTATCATAGCACTGTTGGGTTCTAAAATTGAGCAATTGTTTGCTTGCATTCCGAACTTTGTGTGAAACAAGCCGTTCAGAGTTTCGTTAGAAAGTCTATTTCTTTTATCTGTTTTTACATTTTTTAGAATACTAAATAATCTTTCTACCTCAGTATTTGAAGATGGAACTGCTAGTAAAACTGAAATAACTACTTCAAGATTTTCGTAAATGAAATTACCATGATAATCTTTCATGCTTAGAACCTTATTCCAATAAATGTCAGCTGGCATGTTTTTTAATTCTTCTTCGCTTTCAACTCCAAAATGCTTTAAGTCTATAAGAGCTTGATTTCTCCATTCGTTATCTGCTTTTTGCATGTTGCATTTTGTCGTTAAAAAGTTAAATTTATCAAAAACATCTTTCACTGATTGTTTCTCCAGATTTCTTGCTATTTTTGGATCCACATACTTCAATATGTCGAAAAGTTTCTCATTCAAGTCGAACCGCTTTTGGATTTGCAATACTATTTCCACATAAAATTCACGACAACTAGCATAAAATTTGTTCACTTCTTCTATTGGGGCTTTTGTCTTTAAATCTTCAAGTATCGCATGTGCTTCCATACCAACGTATATATGATCATTATTGAGGTGAATTTCTGTTTTAGTGACGTCAATTTGCTTAAGGCTCTTTAGATCCGAGCTCAGATTCAGGTGCTCCTTTTTGACAAAGTTGCACAAAAAAGTGTTCAACATTTTCCGAACCATCACTGGCAGTATAAATAATTGTGGTGATTTTGTTTGAAAAAATGTATTAAAATCGTTAGTTATAGAGAAGACGTAACTCATGAAGTGTAATAAAGCTTTATTAAATGGGTTGTTAAGACTGTTCAAGATGGAATCATTTGTATTAGAGGGATCCTCAAAAACTGCCCCCGTAAAAAATAATTTCAATGCATCATACTGCTCTAATATCCTGTCGACACAAGCTTGAAGTGACAACCATCTTGTATTTGCTGCAGAAAGTAATTTATGTTGGTCAATTTTTAGAAAATCCTGAAACTGTTTGAGTGCTTCTGTTCGCTTAGGGCTCATATGAAAATATGCAGGTATATTACGGCACAAATCTTCTAAATTTTTAGGTAGTTTACGGGAGGCATATGATGTGGCGAGATGTATTAAATGGCATGAGCACTCTATAACGACCAGATGTGGAATTTCGGTTTTTAGTAAAGCCTGAACTGAATTGTGCTTTCCCATCATTACGTGTGTCGTATCTGATGTAAGTCCGAAGACATGATCAAGAGGTACTTCATGTTTTGAAAAACTTCCTTTTATTGTTTGGAGGATACCTTTTGCCGTTCCATCAATCATATCTATCAAATCAAAAAATCTGTATTCTACTTTTTTTGTCAAACTATTAAAAAATGTTATAATAATAGCCAACTGTTTTTTCACAGACAGATCTGTTGTTTCATCTATTATTATATTAAAATAGCTATTCTTCATGATATCAATCACTTCTTGTTTATATGTCGCTCCTGTGACTTGACGTAAAATATTTGTTGCTTTTTGTTTTCCTAGATGCACGTCATCTAAACATTTCGATTCCGGAAACAAGTTTCGCAACAGCGATACAAAATCATCGACTAAAGAAATTGGTAGATCATGTTTCGCAAGAAAGCCGCACATTTTTAATTCCATTTTTAATACATTAGTAGCGTGCGTCTGATTTTTGTTCAAAAAAGTTGACATTCTTCCACATTGCGAAATAACAGCCATCTTTTTGGTGTGTTTAGCACTGTTTTTATGTTTAAGTAATTCGGACATTCCACATACAAGATCACAATCGCATATTTTACAGTAAGCTTTTGTCTCACCTTTATCAGATTTCTTCAGCCAAGTCTTAAAATCAGGATGCTCCAGCCAAGAAGTTTTAAATTTTTGCACGTATTTTCTTTCCTTACTTGCTGACTTTAAAGTCGAAGAGGATGGTGTTTCATTATCTTCTTCCATTTGAAATTACTTACAATTTAATCGAAAAGAAAAATTTTTTTTTTATATTCCAAGGTGCAATTCGGAGTTCAGTATGTAAATGAAACAAAACTAATCAAATCAAGCAAGCCTTGGTAGGTATACATAATATGACTAAGTTCCGACTACATCTAAAACAACGGAACTGATATTATAAATGACAAATTAAAATTGGACGGATTACATTCATTAATAGTACGGGGGATTCCCCTTTCAAAAATAAACCGCGGGCGGTGGCACCATAGAGTTTGTACATACTACAACAGGGTTACCATCATAAGTTTTGATTTTCCCCGAATTTCCCTAAATCCCTGTCTTATTAAAATAATCCCTAGTCATGTACAATTTCACTTAGTTTTCCCTAAAAAAGGGAAAAATCCCTAAAAGTGGAAACACTGGCGTGAACCTCCCGTGAACGCAAGCGCATCCACACTCGCGCGTGAAACCAGTAACGCGCGAGACTCGTTGCTGTGAGGTTGTGCTTATTTGTATTTTTTTACGGAGGACGGTGCGTCAAATAAGAGTCAGTTGGACGAACGAGCAGAAACTCTTGCTGATCGAGTGTTATCATGCCGAACCCATTTTTGGGATGCTAAACATAAAGATCATAAAAATAAAATGAAAGTACATGACGCATGGAACAAAATGGAAAATTATAAGGATATATTAACAATTCCTTTAATAGTACTTTAACATATGATATGATGATAACATATATCTTATGCAAACAAAAAATCAGATGCAAACAATAGTTATAACAGAGGAGGCGTCATTACAAAAAAAATAATGAAAATACATATTGAATAAAACTATATATACGGATATTATCGCATTTAATTAACTTATTATTTCAATTCCCAACGGTCACTTGGACGAACATTTGGATACGAATAAAGGAAATAATGAATATTATTTTCTTTTCTTTTATAGGATAGGGTGACAAACGAGCACAAAGTCCATCTGATGATATGTGGATGCTGTATTCCATAGACATCTACATCTATCCTCGATTACAAATCAAAATGCAGATGCGTTGTCACCCGTGAGAACTAAGATGGAATGCCTCGTTTCCAGTAAAAAGGTCTCCGGTTCTCTACACTCACCATACGAAACACAGCAGCATTAAGCTACTATTTTACGTTGGTATTCTGTGAGAGCGTGGTCCTTCCTCGGTCGAGCCGACCCATTCGTGCTACAACTATACTACTAATATAACTGCAGCATGACTCTACCACGAAGAGCGTTGAAGTGACTGATTGAAAAAAAAAGAAAGTCTAATGTCCAGTTATAGAAATTATAAGAAAAAGGTGAAGGATTCTAAAAGGAAGTCTGGAGCAAGCAGCGATAAAATTTACAAGCCCATTTGAATTGCCTTTGACGTGATCGGTGCTTTTCTAGAAAGCGATAATTGTAAAAAGAAACTACAAATACGGTTTTTTTATCTTTTATATACACGTAATTGTCGTGAGCCAAAGCGCATAGCGTCACGGCGATAGCAGTGCATATTAATTTCAGCATCCATTCTCGACGAGCGCGCGAACTAAACTGTGAACAATTGCGAATGTGGAGGCATGTGTTTTTCGTGACGAGTTCGCGTCAAAATTACGACGTGAATTCACGCCGTGAATCACACAGGAGTCTGGAGCCCGTATAAGGCGCAAGCCGAACGCTCAAGCCACAGCCTTCTATATTGCTCTACAAGCCGTGCTGTGAGAGAGCTGGCAACGTCGCCCGTGAACCTATTTACGAAGTCTATTTTGTAACAGACGCCCTTATGGCTATACGACTAATTTAAAAATAAGCGAACGTAATGAACTTACACACTCACTGGTAACCATTATTTTAGGACACATAATATTACGCGACACATTAGCATTGGGTGATGACGTTGTTAGATTTTGTACAAGTTGGCTGTAGATGTTAAGTTAGTTGGATAATACGTCATTTTTATTTGTGCCCGGAGATTTGTTTCTATCATTTGTGGCTGGTATATCTAAGTGAAAATAAGACAATTTCATGGCATTTTCTTTAAAAAAGACTGCTGTGACTGTTTTAACTGTTTTTGCTATTAAAAGGTATGTATATAACATTACTATTGAAGTTTTAATGACAATTTGAAGTTACAATTATTACAAGCGTAATATAACTCATATATTATGTAAGTTTAAACAAATTTGTTATTTGTTTATAGATGCCTCGTCGTTGCTGTGTGCCCGGTTGTAAGTCGAATTACGATTCTACTCTTAAGAGAGGAGAAGGACCTGTATCGACATTTTCTTTTCCCCGGGATGGCGGTTTACTTTGTCGTTGGAAAAAGGCGATACCACGAGCTAACTGGGAGCCCTCGAAAGGTTCATTCGTCTGCAGTGAACATTTTAGTGATAGTGAAGTTATACGGTGTGAAAAAGTGCTAAATCCTAATGGATCTTATGAAGTTGTTCCTCTGAAAAATCCCAAATTAGTGACCGGTGCAGTGCCCCATATATTCCCAAATCTGCCTAAGTATTTAAGTACAAAAAAAACATCTAGGATGGATCCCTCGAAAAGGAGACAGATGTGTGAACAGCGTCGTGAAGAAATAGATAGGCAAACCCAAGAAAAGGACATAATCAAAGATTTCTTCGAATTGAAATCAAAAGTTAGCCAGGATGATGCTATATATTCTGGTTGGAATTTAAAGATATTTGAAGAAAAAATGTTTTTTTATACCCTTAACATAGATTTTAATAATAAAGATTCACAAAATGTGAGAGTATTAAATAGTATCTGCATAGACTCTGATCTCAGTGTGAAACTATTTATAGGTGAAACACAGCTTCCCCCAAATGATTTAAAATGGACTCTTACCAATTCCTTGACTTTATTTAAGTGGTCACAACTTAAAAATTTGTTAGACAGGTATAAAGATAGCCCTTTTACCTGTACTGAGAGTATGTTTGAATTTAATATTAAGAAAGCAGAAGAACAGCTAGAAACTGCTCTTCAATTCTCTGACGAGCAAGAATGCAAGCAATTGGATTTGATTAAGGACCAACTTAAGTTGTGTACTTTAAAACAGCCTCGCTACAGTGTATCAACTGTTATATTTGCTTTCTTGATATTTTGCATATCGCAGTCATGCTATAACTTAATAAGGCGATTTTTGTTTTTACCTCATAAAAGGTATTTACAATATCTTTCATCTTCCTTCAATGTTAACCCAAGTAATTTAGAAAACACAAATAATTATTTGAAAGTTATGTATAACAAATTAGATTCACGAGAAAGGGTAGTCAATTTATGTATTGATGAGATTTATGTCAACAGCAAGCTAGAGTATAAATGTAAAAAAGTGACTGGATATGCTGATAACGACTCTAATGAGTTAGCCAAAACTGTGGTTTGCTTTATGGTTTCTTCTACATTTGGTCGATTTAAAGAAATTGTGCGTATAATACCTGTTAATTCACTCACTGGACATCAGCTTAAAGATTACACTTTAGAAGTTATAAATTTTATCCAGCTCATTGGTTTCCAAATATTATGCATAATTACAGATAACAATAGGGTGAACCAAAATATGTACAAGCTTATTGCAGGGGATAGTATTCAATTCTTAAATCCAAATTATCCTAGCAAATCTATTTATGTTATGTATGACCCTGTTCACATTTTCAAAAATATTAGAAATAACTGGTTAAACCTACGTTCCCCAGGAAAGACATTCATGTTTCATGATTTTGAAACAGGTCAAATTAAAATGGCTTGTTTTAATGATATTGAAAAATTGTATAAAGATGAAGGCGAACGCTGTATAAAAAAAGCTTACAAATTAAATTCTAAGACATTATATCCTTCAAAGTTAGAGCGACAAAATGTGAGTTTAGTTGATAATCTATTTCACAACTCAACTATAAGTGCCTTGAAATCAAAAACTGAAAGTCAGAGTACTGGTCAATTTCTGGAAATCATCCGAATGTGGTGGAATATAGTAAATGTGAAAAATAAAATTAAAGGTTTATTAAAGCGGGATACTAGTTCTTCGTTCATCTCTGCACCGGATGATGAAAATATAGTTCATTTGGCAAAATTTATTGAATGGTTGGATAAATGGTTACTTTTAAATGGTGGTTCATTTCTGTCGAAAGATACTTTCACAGCTCTTCGGCACAGCACTGTAGCCTTAATAGAAGTTGTTAAAACTTCTTTCAGAGACTTCAATATTAAATATATTTTATTGGGGAAATTCCAATCTGACTGTATTGAAAAACGGTTTGGACAGTATCGCTTTCTATCTGGATGTAATTACAATGTATCATGTACACAAATTATAGAAGCAGAAAAAAAAATTCGTTTGCGACACTTAATGAAACTAGAAGATATAGGAAAAGAATTAAAAAATTATAAGGAAGTTACTGATTCTAGCACTGAACTTCTAACTGTGCCAAAAGAATTTAAATCAATTCTATCTAGTAATTATTTGGAAGCTGAGATCTGTGACATTGATGAACCATCACAAATATATGTATGTGGATATGCAGCACATTCTTTGTCAAAAAAATTGAAATGTTTACACTGCATATCCACAGTCATAAAAAGCAAAGGTGATTGCATAGCTGATCCTTATTTTGACTATTTGCAAAGAGGAGGTCTGTCAGTGCCTACAGATTCTGTAAAATTTGTAAGCTATCATTTATATGCACTGTTTAATTTTATTATTAAGAATTCTGACTTAAAAACTGTTTTCTTTAAATTGAATGATACCCGAGGTATGTTAGCAGCACTAACGATTTTAAGCCTTCAGTCTGATTCATTTTTCATCGATATAGATGACTGTTGTGAAGCAGGCCACTGTCTGAAACTATTATTCTGTAAAATTTCAAAAATTTTAGCTAACATTATTTTAAATAATTTTACAAAAAATGTGAACAATTCACAGAATGAAAAGAAAAATAACAAAAGGAAGCTCAATGTTTTTTTAAATTATTAAAAAGGTTATCTAGGTGGGTAAAAATCTAAAATATCTTTGCTAGTTGGATAAGTTGTACTTATTGATAATATAATTTTTAATTTTAGTAATATAATTAAATAATTTTCAATCTATCATAATTATTGTTTTATTTTAGAGAAATAATAAAACCTACAAAGTTTGATACAAGTGATATTTATTTTATAAAAGTTAACCACCTTACGTCCGTAAGACGTATTCCACTGCCTTACCAACATAAAATTATTGGGTAGGAGGTACTCAAGTACCATTCCTAATAAATGACGATTTTATGTTGTACTTATTTTTTGCATTTTGCAAGATACAACCCATAATAAGGTTTGCACTAGCACACATTGTAGAAAACATGCTAACAAAAGTTAAAACAATCGGTTCACGCAGATCCTAATTGCGACGTTGCCAAACTTCATAGCATGGCTTGTAGAGTAAAGGAGGCTGTGGTCAAGCCAATCGTACCTTTCGCTCGCTCGTGCCGCGCTCTCGTTCCGATCCGAGCGTAACGAGACAATGGCTGCGTTTGGCAGAAAAAAGCGCTAGCAAGCGCTTGTAAGCAAAATGGCGATCGTAAGCGGTAAGCGCTGTCAATTCGCAAGTAGCTATTTTCCTCCAGGACACGATGTTAGTTTTAACCGGGAAACCTAACCTAATTTAAATATATGTTTGTGAAGTATTCATATTAAAAATTACCAATCATGAATTTTAATAAAATGTATATGTCTATTCACGTCATTATATTACTTATAACTAATATTGCAAAAAAACAACTTATAAACTCTACTTCAAAACAAACAAATTAAATAAGCAAAATGGCGGATTATGTCAACGCTACTGAAGTAGCAATCGTGTCCTGGCCGAAAACTATTTTAGCGCTAGTAAGCGCTTGCTAGCGCTTTTTTCTGCCGAACGCACCCATTGAGTCATCTTTTTTCGTGAATGCAGCCGGCGCGGCGTTCATTGATTTATTAGACGTTGTCAGTTGTCACGTCAAAAATAAATTGCGCATTCTGGCAAGAGCCCTGATCGGATACGGTTGCCTTAAAAAGCACATGTCCATCCTAGGACTAAGCAACTGAAGTATGTGCCGGTTCTGATCCTTAACGGAAGAAACACCTATGCACATCTTAACTGATTGTGCAAACGCAACACTCATCTAGGAAACTATGTACTCAGCCCAGAAGAAGTGAAATTGCTCACAGCTAAGCAACTCCTTCTATTCATTGAAGATGTTGGGCTTAGTAGTGAACTATAAGCATTGGCAGGGATCACAATATATATATATATACACTATAGGTTAGTTTAGTTTTCTTTATTTTACATACTTGTGTTTTCTCCCCCTTGGGGGGGAAAACACAAGTATGTAATGGCTTGACTAAAAGCAACTAGAATTTAATCCAAATAATTATATTAAAAATCTTATCCGCTATTTTTCTTTCCTTTGAAAAGGAATTTTTTTTCTTCAAATATAAGTGAAACATCAGGGGTATTTTTGTAGGCAGGTCAGGGAAGAGAGACCAGTATCACTGCGACAAATATATATATATATATATATATATATATATATATATATATATATAGCGGATAAGATTTTTAATATAATTATTTGGATTAAATTCTAGTTGCTTTTAGTCAAGCCATAAGAATGTTTTGCGTACTATCATATTGTCTTTAGCTTATTGAACACCATCGATAATGATCTTTAGATTATTTTCCACCATCTTTTAGTGAAAGTATCGTGTGATGACACAGTATTCTCATTTAAATAAAGTTGAATGAATAAAATTTATCTTATTATTGTACTTATCACCAGTTTTCACTACTCAATAAAAGAGGCCATTACTTACAATTTGTGATATTTGACACCGCTGTTTTAAAATGCTCCACACGAAAATAGTATATTTAAATTGGGCAATCGCAAAACACGATATTGGATGCTGAAAAACCACCTGATATGCTATCCGTGTAGGTACGTTATTACCATTACAATATGTGCCCCGTACTATTAATGCCACGCAAATAAGAACAAATTTACCGATTACGACGACGATACCGATAACGATAAACCGAATAAACCAAACTTAAGGTTAAATATTAGTGGATATTTGTACCCATAATTTAATTATTAAGTAATTATATCATTATTATCATACCTATTTAATAAAAAGTAATTATTGTGATTTATTTATTTGTTCTACTTACACTTCGTCCTTTTGTCGACATTATGCTTTTACATTCATTTTTTACTTTTATAAATGATTCCAAAGCACCATAGAAACCCAAATAGGTTTTTAAATTTTTTCTTCACCCATACCAGATCGAATAGAATCTTTTTAGTTAGTTTAGTTTTTTTTAAATAGAACCGAAATGCTGTCATTAATGTCCCTTTCGTTTTTTTTAAGGTCAGAAACAGTGATTTGAAGGGAGTCTGCCATACGGTTCCATGCATCATTAACCTATACGTATAGTTTGGCCAAGGCCGTAATTAGGTTAAAATCTTTGTCCACAGATCCTTGACTATATCATGCCATATTTGGCCATATCATGAAATGTCTGGGCATATTATGAAATCGTTGGCCATATCATAAGCTGTCACTAAATTTGAATTGAAAAACCAGATTGCGGGCGAGCTCATTGTGCTGTATCACCAGGGCGCCTAACTGTAATTTAAACCAACCGAGTTAATTAACTTTGGAATCATAACATACGATTTAGGTACATTGCAAAAAATTTCTCGCGACGATGTGGCCATGGCCAATTTCAAAGATCTACCTACGACATACATAAATATCAAACCTTCAATGAACAAAAAACTTAGACCTGAATGGTCCAACCCAATGGACGAGTAATGTACCTAAAAAAGTCTGTCACTTTTAGTGCGGGGCGAGGAAACACTACATAGATAGTACTGTACACCTACTCAATAAATTCAGTCATTATGGCACACACAAATCTAAATCTCACACTATAACAAAATGTAAAAACGCACACATATAAGTTAAATGTATTTATATGTGTATGTTGTATATGTATACATAGAAAAATTTACGAATGTAAGACGGACAAATTAATTGCGATGCTACCATATCGTTAATTTATATCGATAGTTTCCCTAAGAAAAAGAGAAAAACTCACAAGCATTAGCAAAATGCACTCGAACAATTAAAATCACCTCTTTAGTTGGTCAGCGTAGCAATTTTTTTAGGGTTCCGTAGTAACACAACAAGGAACAGTTATAGTTTCGCCAAGTCTGTCTGTCAGTTTTGTTTGTCCTATGTAAGAGAGAGAGAGAATGTCAGTGACGGCACTAGATAGGATGATCGCGTTTGACCTCCTTTGAAAGGGCTCATAAAGACTGTTATGGTGACTGTTATGATCTCACCTCTCTGATGGTGCAATTTAAAGGTGTGTATAGGATCTTAGTGACGGCACTATTTTTGTATTTTAATTATTAATAATTTATAGGAGTCACGCAATTTTATCTGTGACACTTATAAAAAAATTATACCCCCAAGGGGGAGAAAACAGAAGTAAAATAAAGAAAACTAAACTAAATATAGTGTACTTATATGTGTTATGTAACTGAATACAATACGAAAAATTTATTATTTTATGAAACAACATATGAATAGAATAACTATTTTATTAATTCTAGACTTTTTTACTTAAAATAAAACGTTATACTAGGATTTTATCTTGTATCATGGAGGTAGTTTACAAACATAAATTGCACAAGGACAAACATCCAGATCCTGAACAATTATTTGTAGACTCATCGCTAAGCCACTGCGCCACGGAGCTTGTTTATTTTATCATTTTTGTACAATCTTATGCTGGATTGATGGATGTTGAATGGTATGGGTATGACCACGACTTAACGCATTAATTTGACAATGACGTTAACAATGGCGTTTGCCGTTTGGCGGTAACTCGAATAGCGGTGTATCAAAGAGATTTACGCACGAAATAACGCATTGAAGCGGCCAAATTACGTTTGTCTGTAAGTGCGCGATGAGCGCTATATAGCGATAATAAAAAAGTTATTAGTTTCTTAAGATTCTGCAAACAAGCCAAATCCAACTCAAAAGTTTTAAGAATCATACATCAAAAAATTATGTTTTGCGACGAATTATCCAATTATTATCTTTTAAAACAACTATCGAAGAATTAGAAAAGCGAAGGAAAACCTAATGGGTTTTTATAGAACCACTTATAAAAAATATAAAAAGTGTTCAAGGAACATTAACGCCAACTTTAACGCCACTCAATGGCATTGAAATTTAACGACGTGGAACGTTCAAGTGTAGCCAACTTTATCGCGTTAAATTTAGAGCAATAATTGCTGCGTTTATAGGCATTGACGTTTCCCGTTAGTGTAGCACCAGCATTAGCGGGTTCTATCGATGATGCAGGGGCGAAGCTATACCAGAGTATATAAATTGAATTTATATACTGTGGCTATACCATGGTCGCGCGGTGGGCTGAGCGTTGAAATATGAATATCGACAGTCGATATTTTTTCAATAAAAAGTTTTAATTGTTTATTTCGTCTCGTAAATCATTTAATCTAATACTAACTAATCTTCTATACTTTATTTTATGCTATTATTTTTCCCCAGTATTTTCTTATTATCTTAAAAAGAAATGTAATTTTGTATATTATATCTCTGTGGTATTAAAATTACTATAATCTACGAAACTTATAACTACTTTACTAATTGTGTGTTTTGGCAGGAACTTGACCGTCGAAGGATTTTTGCTTCTGTTTTGTCGCTTAAACTGTTTAGCCCAAATCGTAACAACTTAAAACTTGCGAAAACGCTCGTCTCGGGCGATAAACCTGTTTGACGATTTGGGCCGGGGGGCATTCGTTTTGCAGCTGCGGCCGTGCCAATTAGTCTGGAGCAATCTATTGTGCGCGACGGCCGTGTCTATTAGATGTCGTGAAGTTACGTTAGAATCGTTAGGTCGCGTTAAAACTGACTCGTTTGCGTTGTCTTATTTCGTTCGTATATGTGACAACGAGGCTTTCTTTGAGTTTGAGTTATTAATTTAACTTAGATTGCCATTAATTTGGGTCGACAAGTTGCTTGTGTGATATTTTAGTATCGTACGAAGGAAGTTTTCTTTGTCAGGTGGAACGCTAAACTT